GAGTGGACTTCAACTCCCAGCATGGCTGGCTGGGGAATTCTGGGAGTTGAAGTCCACTCATCTTAAAGTGGCCAAGTTTGGACAACACTGTTCTATGGCATTAGCTTGAAAGGGATGTCTCTGTTGCAGAGCAGTGGTTTGGCTGCTTTCTTATTTTGCCAAATATATCTCTCGGTGCTATTTTACCGAAGGCAAAAATATACATTGACTTCCAGTTTCCTCCCTGTTGTCTGTTGTGAATTGGCTTATCTTTGTTTATGTTTATTTCTGAATCCTAATACTTGCATGTGCTACTCTTATCTCTCTACTCCTTTTCCAAAAACCCTGTTTTCCTAAATATATTTAGCACTATAGTGAATTAGAAGTCTTCTGTAAGCATCCAGAGAGACATGTAGAAGTATATCTAAGATTGGTGAAGGATCGACTTATGAACAATTCCTGAACAGTTGCATTTAACACTTTCTGCAACATTCACATGATGTTTTGCTTTGAAAATAAATTCAGTAATTCAGTTAAATACATTCAGCAATTTATGGCTCTCTGACATTGCAGTTATTTTCAATTATCTTACAGCTGAGTCATCTATCCAAGTCATCTGTCACACAGCTAGTAACTGGGTTGCTGCAAACTGAGGATCATTTGATTCTGTATTATAGAATCAGTGATTTACAAATTTAACAGTAGTGAATTCTTGAAAAAGATTACAGCAGATCAATTAATGATCCGGAGGGAGGGAGGGAGGATTCAGTTGTAAATTAGGAATAGGCAAGACATGTTCAAGAAATTTCAAACCTCCAACATTTATAAAAATGAAAAGTGAAATGTCACAATCCTTAGAATGAAAAGTATATGGTTATTTTAATATTGTGAACAACTTACTGTTAAGAACTAATTCTTTTCTTTTTTCTACCTGGAGCTTTTTAAATGTGGCTGTGTACCTGATTGACTTACTCAGACATGCAAAAAGTAAAACTTTTGGGGTATTCCATGTGCACCATTCTATACTGAAAATTGTGAGAATGTAAGTCAGTGCCTACTTTAGTTCTCCAAGTGGACAGGTAATCTGCTAAAGAGGGATGGACTCCTTGCATATGAATAATTTGATCTAGCACTGAGCAAGATAAACATCAAGCCCTACTTAGAAATATACTTTATATTTCTACTTGGGGCTGGTGTTCACATTGCCTAGTTCCAAATCAAATTTAAGAATGATTGAACATATTCATTTTGTAATAAGCTTTATTTTGATTCTGCCTTGTAATGTATATTAATTTCTGCAAGAATAATTGTAGGGAATTCTTACATTTATATATAGTCTGTTTCTTCTGGAAGCAAAACTTTTATTGCATTACACTTGAGCCTTAGTATTGCAATTATTTGGAAAGAAAAGGCACTGACTTATTTTTATAAGATTTCATTTGATCATGACTGCAGAAATATAGCATGCTTGAATCCTTCCAAATATATTTGGAATTGAAGTCCTGTAATCCCACAACTGTCATGCTGTCTGGGAATTGTGGGAGTTAACGTCCAGCACATTTGGCAATTGTAAAGCTGAGAAAGGCTGTGTAAGAGGCTTTTGTTACACAAGCTTCTGTTATCAACTTCAGAACTGGGGGTCAGCTCCTCAGAAATACTTACTTGAAAGACAGTTTAGGTGGCTAAATCGGAAAATAGATTTCATAATTTTTAAGTAATACTGTAAAAGTCTAGTCATGCTACATGTTTTCTTAAATATGTACTTGTGTTCTAAGCTTTTCTGCAGTTGGAGAAAAAAGATCAACAGGAAGTGGCTTTGGATCAGTCTTCTGTAGGGTCAAGGAAAAACTACTCATTCACAAATGAGGAAGTACGACAAATTGATCAGGAAAACCAAAGGCTCTTAAAAGAATTGACAAAGCATTCTGCAAAGCCCAGAAGCAAAAGTGCCTCAGCAAAGAAACCTTCAGGCTCAACACCTAAGTACCACAGTGCCATCAACAGGCAGAGGGAACAGCAGAGGATTGACAGAGAGAATCTGGTTAGTTGAAGTTCCGGATTTAACAACATTAATTAAATGCTACACTGCTTCGACTTAGTATGTTAGGCAAATCGAGCCATGTGGTTTGAGGCTCAGGATAGGATGAGTGCCTACCAAATTATACTGCATTCAGTAAACTATGGGCTTGCAAGCTGTGGCTTAATACATTGTATGGAGCATGTTATTCATTTTGTCATCTGAGAAGTGAGTACAATCTCATTAAATCACAGAGCTCTCTTTATAATTCAGTTTTGCTGGCAGTGGAAGAAGATCCATCAGCTGAATGCCACCTTAATTTATAAGTGCTCACTCTGGGAAGAAAAAAATGTATTATCTGAAAACATCCAAAAATAGAGAAAAATGTATGGAGGCACTGGAAATACTACTGCCATAGTAAACCAGTTGGGGATTGCTAGAAATGCTGCCCAAACGTGAAGGGAACCAATGTCACCTGCATATCTCAAATTCTGTCAGCGCAGTGAGGTTTCCACCAACTCCTGTCCTCTGCTGATGGACCTTGGTTGTAGGTTTGCTTTATAGGGCTACAAAGGAAGTTTGTTTTGTTTTTTATTTAAAGTTAATACAATTAACACAAAAATAATCTCTTTTACCCCATCAGATATGTTTGTTTCCTGTTCAGTTTCTTGCCCAGTAGAATGCAGTTCATTTACTTGCACTTAAGACTCACTAATTTCACTTGAATTTAAGCAAGTTAACTCTGTGCTGGATTGTGGACCATGTGGCCCCATCCCCATTTTCTCCCTTTTCTGATCTGTGTATTGTATAAGAATAAATGCTTGACTTTCATTGGAATAGTATTTGAATGCCTGTGAATTAAGTAAAAACGTTGTTGAAGTATTTTGATATGCATTGTTTGTGCATGTGTGTATATATATATGCGCGTGTGTGTGTATAAAAACATGACCTAAAATAACACTATTCTTTTCACATTTGAGCATCTATGTTAGATATAGGAAAAATTAACCAGAAAGAAATTCTGTGATCTCAGTAACAAGCAAGAAGAAAACTGATTGATGTAGTTAGCAAAGGAGCATATTAGGTCAGTCAGTCATTTTATTTTGACCATTGACCAGCAAACATATTAAGTTCTCAATAACACACAACTATAGCCCACAACTTAAAGTGGAAATAATTGAAAACATAGCCAACAGTCACTTTCAATTTCTGTAGCTGCTCATTCCACTACTGCTGAACCACTGTAGTAGCCATGGCAACAGATCTTGAGGCAAATGAAAGCTCACCTTCTATGCAATAGTTCTTTACCTAGAACTGGTCAAATGGTAATATAATGTAATTTTGCATGCAGAAAAAGTCTTATATTGGATCTGTAATGTAACATAAAGAAGAGTGCAATGAATTACCCAGATGAATGCTCTGCCTTCTTTTGGACCTGATTTGGTGCTGTATTCTGTTTCTACAATACTCAGAATTTTAGGCTGCAATCAAAAGCCACAACATTTAGTCCCTTTTTAAAATACATGCACTCATGTATTTTAAAAATTCATGAGTACATGCAGACCCACAGAGAACCCCCCAAGAAACCTCTCAGATGGCCTTTTTCTGCACATTTTCCCTTTTGTCCCATTCTTCTGAAATGGAACAACTATAGACACATGTCAATATTCTGAATTTGGATTCCCTAGAGAGTGGTAGCATGACTGACTTGGCTTGAACAATCAAGTTCTGGCATAATAACCTAGGATGTGCACAAGCTTCCTGCTCCATACCCAGCAATCTTTCTGTTGCCATTTTCTTCAATCACAAAATAGAGTACCAGAACACAGAAAAGGAAATATTTGCAAACTATGTTGTTCTGAATAATAATGCATAGAATATAAGTGTATATAGTGTAAAATTTACAACCCTTTAGAACACCTTTGGCTTTCTCTACTGCTGTGCTAAGAAACCAGACAGATGACTACAACAGCAAGGGGACCATCTTGTCTGTAGTTTTCTATGGAAAGTCCTCCACAGTGAGATTTGTTTGGCCTCACTCACACTGTCATATTCAGTATGGTGAAGTTGTTTGAGCTACTGGATATAAAAAGGTCCAGTCCCAGGCCATTATTATTTCCCTTTATAGATTGTAGGTTTTGCCTTTTATATAAATATAGTACATGACGAACAAAGGCAAAGCCACCAAGGACTTGTCAGAACATTCTCATCTGTGCTGCTCTATTCCTCCATTCTTACATTCTTATTATGTCAGAAAGCTTCCTAACAGATGTTTCCAAGCTAGTGTACTCCAGGTATGTTGAACTACAATGTTATAATTCTAGCTAGAAACTAAGGGAGTTGTAATCCAAGAAATCAGAGATTGTGGAAGGCTGCCTTGTCTCACAAAATTCTGGTATCTCATGTTATAACGTAACAAGGAGTGTGCTATCTGTTAATCAAGGTATGTGTATGCTTATTGAAGGCTTTTTTGAAAAGACTTGAAGCAGTAAAACCAACAGCTGGCATGAAGCGCTCAGAACAGCTCACGGACTACCAGCGGCAGATAAGCTACCTTCGCACTGCTCCAACTCCAAGGCGAGGAAAGTCTACCTTGAACCATCATAGCCCATCTAGTAAGTCATTCCAGAGTCTTCATCTACTAGTTTCAGTATGGTTGAAGTGTAAAAAAAGAACTCATTGGCCTATATTTATTTCTACAATACATGCAACTTGAAAGTCCTGTGCTCTGATTTTTCAAGCAGATGGGAATGCCTTGGGAAGTCAAATCTGAGCATCTGCTGGGCCTTAATAATTTCCATTCCCTATGCAATATCCCCCTTTGTATTTTTTATAGCATTTATAGGGTGGTTTACATGTGCACTGAGGTCAGATTTTTCAGTAGCATGAATAACATTTACCCTAAGGATTGAATCTAAAGGTTGTACAGTACAAATAGAAGTCACTGGCACTTGCCCAAAGTGAGCTGTTCCTACATCTTGCCAAGCCCTTTATACCACATACGTGATGATTTCCTGAACCCAGAATAAGTGAGTTTTTTTACCTTAGAGAACAGCAGTAGCACTGAACAAGACTGCCCTTTTTCATGAGCAACATCCCATATGTAATTGTTATCAGAGTATTTCTGATCATACTGTAATATATGGTGTTTCTTCCTTAAATTTTATACTGTGTGCTTAAAACTCCAGGACTACTTCATATGATGGTCTCTCTTGTGTGCAATTTTTGACAGGAGGCACGTCCCGAGCTTCCAGTCATAGTGCATCCAGTACTATAAATCGAAGGAGTGAAAAACCAGTTTTTGATTCATCCAGTGGTACATTACAGCACTTGAACCCCAGTAACATTCGTGGTGCCTGGTTATAAATAATCTGCACTTCACTACCAGAAGTTTTGGAGATTGCTGTAATTCTGTGCGGGACTATTGTAATATTCAATGATTAAAGGACATTGGAAAGTAGTACTAACTATGAATGGATACAATCTTGTTTCTTTCTCTTTCTTTCTTTCTTTCTTTCTTTCTTTCTTTCTTTCTTTCTTTCTTTCTTCTTTGTGATATCTGTTGGACAGTATCTTTACAGTCAGTATTTCTTCTTAAAAAATATTTGTATTAAAAAGTGGCAATATTTCAAACCTTATTTTCTCAAAGTCAAATAAAGTTTCAGGTTTTAAAAGTAGGGTTAGGGTAGGCCAGAAGTATAAAAAAAAATTCATTTGTTTTTAGTCTTCTTAAAATTTGAATTTCTTACCATGAATCTAAACATTTTAATGTAGCGTATTTTGTTATTGCAGAGTTTCAATTTCATAATTACAAGATCTTACAGAACATATACCATTCAACTCAGCCTTGGTGCTGTCAGCTACTACATGGAAAACATAAACTGAATCTTTTCAGATCAGGTCCCCAAGTTTAATTCTAAAAATGTGATTTTTAGATAAGCAGAAATGTAAAAAGTATTGTCTATTATCTAGAATTCTGAAGATCTTGCAAGTGACCTTTGTTGACAGTTCTGGTCTGTGATGTATTTGCACAATTATATTTATTATTCTCTAAAATTTTATTGTTTCTTGAAGGACAAATGAACAGAAATCTTGTATGTGCACTTTTTAAATCTTAGCACTTTAAAATCTTTCCATAAGCATATTTTCTTTGATAAAAACTACAGTGTGGTTAGTTATGAAAGGTATGAAACTTCTATATCGGTCCTTTAAAAATTAAGTAAAATATTTAATTGAATTACTTCTGTGTGCAGTTTTTTGTAATTTGATCTAAATGTTGTAAACAAATCAAATATTTTGAGGTTTTATTCAATAGGTTTAAAAAAATCACATTCTACTTCTAATTACACTTTTGCAATAGTCTGCTCCATAATATTCTATGGATTCCCCATCATTCACTGATTTAAGAAATAATTTCTACTTCACTATTAGTGAAAAGTAGGACTGAAGATCGTCCCAAAATGGTAACTATATTGAAATTTTTAATATGGCCTAAATGGGAAGTACTAAATGCATGAACAATTGTTTCGTGATTTTTTAAATGAAAATGCAATCAAATTTAACATCTATTCTCTTTCCAACTGTGAAGAACACTGCAAAGCTCAGCATAAACAGACATTTCTAAGGGAAGACAGTGTCTTCAAATATATTAATAGGAGTCGGACACTTTTTTTGCACATTTGGCTTTTTCTTTATTTCAATTCTCTCATGCACTAATGTCATGAACTCTATTTCTAGAATACCTCCAGTTAAGATTCAAGGAATGGTATCTAATCAATATTTCAAGAAACTCACTAGAATGTAGTCATAGTCTCTAAGGTTGGAGATGACTGGGGTGGGGGTGGGGGTGGGCAGAGAAATAATCAGAAAATAAATTCATGCTATGGAAAAGAAGCTTAATAAAGCCCCCTCCCTTCCTGAACTAGCTGACTCAAGCCGACAATAATCTAGATGTGTTTCTCAACCTTGGCAACTTTAAGCTGTATGGACTCTAACTCCCAGAATTCCCCAGCCAGCATACAGCTTAAAGTTGCCAAAGTTGAGAAACACTGATCAAGATACAGGAAGGGATATGTCACTTTCCTTTTCATCTCACTGTGGTTAAAATATCTCTGTAAGGGTCTGGAAATAGGCTTAATGCTGGAACTGGGGAGGGAGAAGCTAGGGAAGGATTAATTAGAGCCACAAGCATCTCCTCACCCCCCCCCACCTCACCCATTGGAGATACATCATGATTTCTTCCTCTCCCCCTGAAATCAAGTACAGGGAAGAAATCATGCTTTGCTCCAATAACTTCAAGTTAAAATTAACTCCTTCCTTCTATCCCTGTACACAAATTTTCTTGATGTTGAGATGTCTAGAGTTCTGAGTATTTTGTGACCCATTCCTTTTGTACTTCTGTAACAAGGGTTGTCCTGACACTTCAGCCTTAGGCAGCACTGTGCTGTTTGTTCAAATACTCTTCACCCATTATTCTCATCAATGTGCTGGTTAGACTGTGACTCCTATCAGTAATGAAAAAAAGGAGCAGACCACTATCAAGAATGTCATTAAATGGAGGAATATTTTTCTTTCTGAAAGCAAATAGCAATTTCTTTTTAAACCTTCCACTAAGCAGACTGAAGCAGCCATGTCAGGATTCTGGATCAGATGGGCAACTGACAAGAATGGTATGTCTCCCGTCTGGGCTAATTTTCAGTTAGCCTAGATGATGTACAAGCGCTGTCCAACTGCCAGTGGTGAAGTAACAGGCCCAGAATGGGCACAATTGGCACACAACACAAAGCTGGGCAAAGGTACTCCTGGCCATAGCTGCACCCTGCTTTTGTTCCCCTCCATCTTCCCTCCCCTCTGGTCAGAGTCAAGTCTGACCAGAAACACTCTTAATGCAGTGCACCAAACACCAACAGGCCGATAATCAGTATTTTATGGATATTTAATCCTATAGATTTAAAGAACACCTGACTCCAATGGACTTTGAATGCTTTACAGGTAGTCCTCGTTTAACAACTACTCATTCAGCAACTGTTCGAAGTTACAGTAGCGCTGAACAAGTGGTATTTATGACAGGACCTTGAAATTCCAGCCATCCAAGCACCCCATGCAGTCACATGATCACAATCTGGGCACTTGGCAACTGGCTCACACTTATGGGATGGTTGCAGCATCCCGCGGTCATGTGATCATTTGCAACCTTCCTTGCCGGCTTCCTACAAGCAAAGTCAACAGGGAAGCTGGCAGAGAAAGTCACAAGTCACTCTGGTAAGTCATTCGCACACTCCCTGCCTCATAACAGCCACCCCCAACCCACCACACTCACACTGCACCTTGCAGTACACCCGTGCACCCTCCCCCGCGCAGCAGCAGCCACTTACCTGCCTGCCAGCCTGCTTGCAAACTGCCTGGGACTCACTTAATGACCCATGATCCTCGCTTAAGGATGGCAATGGGGAGTGCTGGGATTGCCATCACTAAACAATGCAGTTGTGACATCACGCTTTATGACTGCATCACTTACCAATGGAAATTCCAGTCCCAATTACCGTTGTTAACTGAGGACTACCTATACATAAATATTGCATACCCTGGAGACTTGCAGATGCTTAAAAGTTCAGTTATGTTCTTAAATGAGGAAATACCTTGAATATGCCTTTTTATATTGCAAAAATACATGTGTTTTTTTTTCCAACTCATGAACTCCTACTGCAGCTACATATCAGAAGTTAAAGTTAATATTAAGGTAAATATGATACTTGGTGAGATCAATTTTTACAGCAAGACTAATTTTAATAGAGACTTGAGACAAATGAATATTTCTTTATGTTCTTAGAAATCAATACATAGCTATGGAGTAATCCATTTAAGCATTCAGGAGGGCAAGGAGGGGCAGATGACAAAACAGATGCCACAAGGCAAAACAGATGGCTTAGGTACTTGAGTCCGACCCTGGGTCACAAGTATGTCAAGCTGAAGATTGCACCATAATGCCATAAGGCATGTGTCATTATGGCTTGTACCAGACAATTATGACAACAGACGGATAGACAGACAGAAACTTTATTTCGGTCCTTGACCAGTAAAAATACATTCAGTATAACAAACAAAGCAAAGTTAACCCCTAACTTCAGTAACTGTTGGCAACTATTTGTGGGCAAAGCTTGCACATAACATAGCAACATTTTGCTACTTTTAGAAAGATTTGTCCTGATTGTCTAACAAATAATGCAAATGAAAATTATCGGAGTGCCCTGGAAATTTAGATAAAAAGGGGATAATCAACTGGTGGCAAATGTCCCTGTAGAACTGACAATACAAAAGAACGTGGGCTGTGGTTTCTCTAGCACCTGTATCACAGGGGCAGTGTTAAGTTTCAAATGGGGTTTTCCTGTATTTCCCTTCCAAAGCAGCTGTGGGGAGAACATTAAATTGAGCTAAAGATAAGGCTCTCCTGAATTTAGGAACTGTGATGTAATATAAATATGTAGCTTTAAGCACTAAAATTGGGTTATTTACAATTATATTGTGAGAAAAAGCAGTTTCTGTTTGGCCTTCTATATTTAAGATCCTTTGCCTTACTATTGATCCAGCTTGGAGGGGCCCTAAATTTAAGATGGCATCACTGGAAAAGCCATAGAGACTCAGTTTCTTTTGCCTAGCTGTTTCCCAAGAAGATCTGAAGTTGTCTATCAATATTAGATGGGTCAGTCCACTAGGATTGTGGTGTGGTTTTAGCCAGTAGGTAAAGATATTTATCCAGAGATTGGATTCAAGTTTACTGACTCCTGCTTGTCGCCAAAATACTGCATTTTGGAACACAGCGGGTAACCTGGAAGATGCTTCTTTGAAATTCTGTTTGAATTCTTTCTAAGGTAACCATGCTGTTATATGGTCCTAACTGAGCCCCGTATAGCAGCTGTGCTTGAGCTTTAGCTGCAAACAACTTAACTGCAACAGGAATAAACTGGAAAAGTAACAAATTTGCACAGCTGATGCAGATCTCTGTGCATTACGAGATACATAATCCAGATGGGTATTTCTGCTTCCTGAAGCTTGAAAAACTATCTGTAAATATCTAAAGATCTTAACCTGCTCAGTGGGCTGCCCTCCTAAGTTCCAGTTTCTCTGTTTCGGGCATTTGGAGAAAGTGAAAATCTTAGTCTTGGAGTAATTTATTATTAGTTCTTCCTCAGTGTATAAGTGATCTCAAGACTCTTTTAAGGACAACGGAAGTCAGTCACAGAATTACTGCATCATCGGCATACAGTAGTAAATTGGTATGTCTATGGGCTAATTTGGGAGGATGAAAAGTAGAGTTACTTAAGTGAAGAACTAATGAGTTTATATAGTAATTGAATAAAACTGGAGCCAATAACATTCATGCCTAATTCCCCTCCTTACCAGTATTTCCTTTGTGACATGTCCTTGGTTACTGGACCTGACCTTCAATCTCATGTATTTTAATGAGCAGCAAAAGTAGATGATTGTCTATTGTGGTATTTTTTAATTTATGCCAAAGTTTAGATCTAGATACTATGTCAAAGCTGACCTACAGTTAATAAATGCTGCATAAAGGGATTATCCAGATTTGTGGGTATACTTTTCTTACTAGGTGTTGCAGTACCATAGCAGTCTAACGTTATTCGACCTGCTCTAAACCCAGCCTGTTCATCTATCAGAATGTCTTCAGATTCAAGCCAATTAATGTATCCTGTAGATGTTTAGCATACATTTTGCAGATCTGACTTAACAAACTAATTGGATGGTAATTAGTTGGATCATCTCATTTGCTCTTCTTATGTATTGGTATTATAATAGCCAAGCCCCAGTATCACAGCCAATCTATTGCTGTGAAAAGTGAAGCTAGCACCAGGAAGCTAGCATTCCAAATTATTTTTTATTAATTCATATGTAATGAGTTCTGAACCAGGGGCTTTCTCTGGCTTAAACTGTTTAATTATATTTCTGATTTTTGGACACGAGACCGGGAGCCAATGGGGAAGAGAGGTCACATCCAGCTCCAAATCTGCCAAGGAATTCTGCGGTTGATCACATAGGATAGCAAAGTGGTCTTCCCAAATACTGGCTGGTATATGCGACAAAGAGCTATGCAGTATGCACATACTGCATGCAGAAGGTCCAGATTCATTCTCCATTCTCTAGCAGGAAATGGGCAAGGCCTTGGGCCTTGCAGGGCATAAAACAGTGCAATATAGATACCCAACCCTGACCTGATTCACCATGTTACATTCCTCAAATATATTTCATGGGTTGCTTTTTTTTCCTAGATAATTTGGAAGAAAACAGCACTAAATTTGGAGGAAAACCATTGACAACAGCATTGTCTGCAAGGGGGCAAAAAGGCACATATGACAAAGACAGCATCATAATAACAAGCTCTTCCTAGTTTGTGTATACATTGTGACATCTCATATGTATGAAAGGGGGAGAGCCTGCACTGCAACATCATTTTGACAAAAGAGATGGATCCTGCTGATGTCTCTAACTAAGTGTATTTTGGGTTCCCACTGTCCTTGAGTCATTGCTTGCCAAGGATACAAAAAATGGGAATCTCTGTCTTCTCATTTCATGAGTTTTTTATCCACTGTTAATTTCAGCAATTGTGTTTTATTTATTGTCATTGCAGTACTGGCTTACATCTTCTGCTAATTTAAGGATTCATCACTTTCCAGGAGCAGGGTTACAAATAATTGCCCATCTGATGTGTCTGAAAAACAAATGCATTGTAACTCGGAAGCATGAGAATGATATTGCTAAGAATACATTCCTTTTTAAATTTGTTTACAAAGGTATACAAATACGCACCTGTTGCAGATTAAAACAAAATGTTGTATTTTTACTCAGAGAAGGTATGCAACATTTACCCTCTAGGTTATGTAATTCACTTCTAATATATATTTATGCATTTCTATTCTTTCCCCTCCAAAACCAAAGGAATTTAAATATAGTTCTCAGCAAGTTCCTATTCATGGAAATCAAAAACAAATCTAGTTCATTTCAGAAGCAGAAGTCTATTCCTGTAAATCTTTAACCCATTCATTAGGCTTTCCATGAAACAAAATGATTATATAATACATTGGTTCTGAAAGGAATACACAAGAGTATCAGAAAAAATTCCAAATTTAAACTGCAAGATTCAAGAATAGCTACGCACTTTTTAAAAAATGCTAACCCCTTCTTCTAGATCAGGGTTTCCCAACCTCAGCAACTTTAAGATGTATGGACCTTAATTCCCAGAATTCCCCAGCCAGCATGAGGAGTTGGCAATCGTTTCAAGCCATTAGGGGACTTAACAATCTCACAAGTTGGGGACCATTTTAATATTTTCTGTCCATGTTTAAATTGTTATAAGTGGTAGTGCTGATGGTGCTGTTTTAGGAAGGAACAGGTGCCCTGGTTTTTTTTTGTACTATAAAGTCATCTTCTAGTAATTACATGGACAGTAGAGATTTGCCCCTGTTTTCTTCCAGGATGTTGTTAGATATAATCAAGGTCAACTAAATACTACTTAGAAGTTATTCTAAGACAAAGATACACACATATGATTATTTACATATTCTATCTAAACCATCCCTGATCTCATAAGAACAATGAAATATCTACTCCAGTTAAAATTAGTTTTGACTTAGCTCCTAAGCCATTGTGAAATATATTGTTCTTAAATTATTGAACTATTTTTTAAACTTCACCAAAATCTTTCTTGCATTTTAGATTATCTCCTGTGCGACCAGCCCAGAAAACAATGGCTTAGGTCTACTCTTCTTGGGACGTCAGTGGGGTAGGAACCAGGAAACAGAGTTTTTCTGTGCCAGCCTGATCAACTCTGAAATATTCTACTTATTGAGGTCCTGATAGCTTCCATGGTTTTAGAATTCAGGAAGGCGGTGAAAACTTCACTTTTTCATTGGGATTTTGACATCTGTGGTCCTTGCTCTCCTGGGCTATTTTTTAATTATATTCTTTAGCTGTATTTTAACTGTATTGTTGTTGAGATAAACTACATTTTTATGATATTTATAATGTTTATGTGAACTGCCTGGAATAAAACAGAACATAAATTATATAAATAGATATAAATAAACAAAATACATTTTAGGCCTTGGAAATCTGATGTATATCTGTTTTAAAGCTTCCTGATGTAAAGCAATTAGAGCGGGTCTCATACTCTTTCCATGAACATGCACTGTGATATCCAGACTGAAACATAATTGTATTGCTTAATATCTAATGAGGTTATGTGTGGATTTAATATCCCAGGTCCACAAATACAAATACTGATGAATAAAATATCTCAAATATTCTACAAACTAGTTTACACTTTTGTTTTGTTTGTCTTTAAAGAATGTGCTTCATTAGAGTAAATTTTGATGCAAAAACTTTTAAGATAAGGACTAAAATAGTGCTAGGTAGTTCCCAAAAACTCTCATACACAGAAAGAATAATAATGGAAAATTGGCCACTGGGAATTCAGTAGAAACTCTGCCTGGGAAGTGTCAAGAGAAAGCTCTGCAACACCTGTTTAATATAAGGATATAAAAAACAATGGTGCACCAATCTGTTAAATGTTGTGAGCCACCCAGAGTCACTTCTGTGAGATGGGCAGACATACAAATCAAATCAAATCAAATCAAATCAAATCAAAAATCTAATCTCTTGAAGAGCCTTCTGCCCTGAGTTATGCCTCTGTCTCAGACCTTTGTCACACACATTTTCCACATTTCCTACCCTCTTCTCTGCTGAATAAATTAGTTCAGCATGGATATTTTGGAGGCAGGTAAGAAAGCCCCAGAACTTAAAGAAGAAGAGATTTATGGGGGTCATCTGCCAAGCTATTTCAGCAGTCAATAAACTGACCGTGGAGTCGCCTGGAAGGAAATGTATGCATTATGAAATAAGGGGGATTATTACCAAAACAGCTGGAAAGAGGCAACCATAAAGGAGGGGGGGAGGCAAGAAGAAAGGCTTATTCATGAGGTCCTCGCTTCAGGCATCTGTGCTCCAAGATAAACTTTTGACTTCTGAACATTCAAGATTGAGAGTGGGTACGCGGGCAAACAGCAGGAAACCACTTCCTGATCTTTCCTTTTTATCCAAGCTGCCTCGGCCAACAGCTGGCTGAAGCAGCAGGCACTGTATGGCATCTTCCATCTGCTATCGGTTCTGCCTGGCCTAGCTTGCCCTTTTACCTCTGTCATGGCTGCCTTCCCAAGCAGTTTTGTCCCTCCAAGGAAACGCACAGCCGGCCACTTAGGATATATCCCACTTTCCATCCCCCAGAGGACTCATTCCAGGTGCTCCCCTTCCCATGTCAACCGAGGTCAGTCAGACCTACAACCTACTTCTTTGCCCGCCAATGTGCTATAGTCTTGCCCCTTAGGAGCCGCCCCTCCGCCGTTTCCCTCTAGGTAACTTTCCACGTTCTGCTTTGAGTAAAGAGGGAGCGCCCAGTTAGGAACAGAAACAGGACAACCCCTCCGACGTGCTTGCACTCCAGCTTGGAGGGTGCAGGAAAAGGAGCCGCCCATGGCTTCATCTGGATTAGAAGCCCTTGCCTACCTGCCCGGGCATCAGAGGGCAGTCTCAGATTAATGGGCAGAGAAGCCCTAGGGAATAATGGAAGTGATAAGCAGTGCAGAGTTGTGACTGAAGGAAGAGCCAATCCAAAGAGGACATTTTCCTCTTCTCTTTGTCAATGTAGAGCCTGGTCCAATGAGGGTCTTCAGCAGGGTAATGATGGGTGGGCAGCATGTGGCGGTGTGTATGGAAGAGACTGAATTTATAAGGAGGTGGGGAGAGTAATGTTCAGGCTGCTTTCATACTTTGGCTTGCTTAATCATGGTTTATTGGACAAACTAGTTCAGTGGGTTCACCCAAGGCTCTAAACTCCAAACAAGCAAATCACCTTTTGGCTTTGTGTGTTGGTTGAACTCACACTGCCACACTGAAAGGGAAGTTTCTTTTATGCGTTCTGATTCTACCTGCTACTTACACTTACCATGTTTATAGTTAATTTAAACATTTAGGTTATTTAACTTGAAATAACTTAACCCACTTTTCTGAATTTGTGAGAGACTCTGAACCAAAATTTATCCACATAAGCCAGCTTGCACCACACAATAGGCTTAAATATGGTTGGCTAGTTTGTCATTCAATATATTGCAAACACATCTATAGACATGGTGAAGAAAGTATCCCCCATATAACTACTTTGCTCCCTGATATATCTCTATTCCAGATTTAGGTGTCTGTCTCAAACCTCAGATGTAGGATAGCATTTGGCTTATTCCTTCTGTGCCTCCCAATGTATTTTTTTCTTGAACGTCTACTAGTGCCATCTTATACTTGTGAGCTCAGCTTAAGCCATTGTTGTTGGGCAGCCGCCTTCAGTGGCAGTCTCTAATGCAGGGTTTCTTAACTTTGGCAACTTAAAGTTGCCAAAGGTAAGAAATACTGATCTACTGCCATACAGGAGCAACTGTAGCATCACTGCTGATGGGAGGACCCATGTGTGAATCCCACTCTGTGTTGTGCCATGACTTTGGACAGCCAAACCCATCCAGTCCAAAGCACAACTGCAAGAGTTCAAAAAAGCAAGCAGGAATTCAGAAGAGATCTCACTCTGGCTCATCCCACAGGACTGGATGGGAATAACAATTCAGCCCAGCATTGGGAGGCAGTGTGTAATGAGAGTGGGGGAAAGCAAGGAGGAAGGAGAGAAGTGAATTCATTGCAATAATGTTAAAACAGATCACTGTTGTCCTGAACTAAATGAGAGTAAGTTGGCTAAAGTGGGAAGCTGAAAAAATACCAAGGCGGAAGGCAAGGGCAAACACTTTCATAATGCTGCCAAGAAAACTGCATGGCTGCAGTCACCAGGACTCAACTCCCCATAAAGGATCTTTCCTTTTTCAGATACAAAATAGGTTGCTACTTCAAAACAATCGACCTAAAAGGTGATATTGATACAAAATTGTCTCCTAACTTATCCAGAGATGACTTGGTGAGGAAGTAAGAAACTTAATAGACAAAAAACAGCAAACCAAAATGCATGCATCCTATATAGCTCAAATATTAACCCCAAAAGTTTGCCTAGTCTTACCCTCTGGCTTTCAAAACTGAACTAAAAGTTGAAACCCTGTACTGAACTTTATTTATTTTATATACCATTACCTAGGTCTGGACAGTGTCCCTCTGCCAAAGTAATATTGTAGTATTTTTAGCTCCTTTTCAAAGGAGCTAGGCTTAGTCTAAGGCTTTTGCTGAGATTTTCTATAACCATTTAGGTTTCTCTCCTAGAGCAGAACTTTAAGAATTATCTACAAGACTATCGTCACTGAAATTTACTTAAATTCTGTATTTCTAACCTGTCTTCTCAGGTTAGCTCAATTTCAAAGTCTTAAAAATTCCTCTTTCTGGAAAGAGGGGAAGCTTCCCAGAGTAGGCAAACTGTCTCACTTGAGAAGCTTTGAAGGCAGTATCCACTCTTCTCTGTCCCACCCATCTTATGTAAAGTTCGGACAGGAGATTGTACACTGACTTCTGGAATCCTATCTCATGAGCTTTTCTATAACTTTTAGAGCAACTGCAATCATGGTTTTGCTTGATGGGTATGTGTGTGATTGTGATGATCCCAGGATAGGGATGGGCTCAGCTGAACCTCATTATCTGTACTTCCGCAAAGGTTGACATTCTGAAATTTCCCTTAAATGTCAGAATTCTTACTCCATAAGCATTGGCATTTCATTCTGAGAATCAGAATAGTGAAGGAATCATTAAAAGAAGCAGCTCTTAAGACAAATGTGCACTTGCGATGAAAACCAGAACCCTATGCTATAATTAGATTATCTAAAATCTGTCAAGACAGAGATTTCAGACTACTATCACTGAATGTTCCAGGAGCTCAAGCTGCTTTTGCCTCTTCCAATAATTACAAATAAAATAAAATGGATGTTGTTGCCAAGTGTTGATGATCATAAAATACTAACCCCAATATAAGTGCTGCAGGTAAGTTGAACGTGCTACATGCATTCAACTGCAACCTTCCTTTTAGCAACACACCAGGAGAGGCTATGACTCCAAAATTAAAAAGTATAGTCATTATTGTAATCATTACTGAATATTTTAGAGATGTTAAGGCTCAGGAAAAAAAATGCTTTTCTCATCCAGGCTATCACATCTCTGGGAATATGCATGTGCATTACAATCTTAGCAAGACAAAACGGAGATACATTTGACATAAGTCGTGTCAAACCTTTCCCAAAGTGTGAACAGAATGACTAAACATAAAATGAAGAGAAATTAAGAACAGAATTCCCAGTCTGATGGGAATTGATGCAAGACATTTTAGCTGTTTTGCCTTATACGAGTTAGAATCACTCTCATAGTTTACATTTTGCTGCTAGCTTAGGTGCGAGAAAGAGAAACCTGTTCTCTGTCCCCTCTCTTCTATCAGAACCCCTAATATAAAATCAGTACATACATACATGCACACACACACTCATCTTTGCACACACTCTTCACTATCTAGAAGCTGTAGTCCTTGAAAGAACTTCTGCAGTGGATTTATCACACAGGGAAAAAAGTTTTAACTTCTAATATTTATTAAACTCACTTTTCTAGTTGTTTAAATACTTTACCAACACACCCTCTTCAAGAAATATTCTTATTCGTAGGAATATATTATTGATATTTGTCAAATCAATTTATATATACAAAGACCTCTTCAACTTTCCATACAAAAAAGTTTGACTTACGTAATAAACCACCACTAAGCCATCTCATAGTACCACAATTTGATCTCTCAACTGGATTTGACCCACAGTAGCCACCTCTGTTTCCGTAGGAAATATTTAGTTGCCTTTTAACTCACTTGTAAATAGGTAATAAAACCGAACATTAGAGTCAAGCCGTTTGAGTTGCTTAGACGAATTTCTTGATCTCGTCATACAAGACTAGAACAAAAGCACCTCCCATTCCTCTCAGCACATTCGACCAGGCACCTTTAAAGAAAGCCTTGCCTCCTTCATCTTTAGCAATCTTCTTCCAGCAGTCAATTGTACCCTTGTACATGATGTCAGCTGTGTAAGGAAACATGTCCAGGCAAATAATTGTAGAGACAGAAATCTATCAGTACAACACCATCCATCCTCTAATCCCAACCAACAAAAAAATAATTGGAAAGTTGCTCTCTAGTTCTTGCTTCAAAAGGATGTAAAATAAAGTTGCATTTTTCTCCCTCTTCAACATACTCTTGAAGCTCAAGAAATAATTTCCTCTGTGTGCGTAAGAACTGTGTGGGAACTCAAGGCAATATTCTAATAGAACAAAGGCAAATAAATATAACTCTTTTTCAGAATTTTGCCAATTGAACTTGGGCAGTAATGTTTGTATTCACTGCTAAATAGATATCAAACAAAAAAGCAGAAATTAAACTGAAGCTTTCTTAGCATTAAGGTGGCAACTGTATGCTCCTGAGGTGGGGAACTAGAGCTAGTCTTGAAGCTAGATCAAGACCCAGTAGTCCTGTTGGACTGGTTGATATTGGGGATGGGGCTCTACATATGTCTTGCTGGGAGATGATGGCTTACTGGGAACTCCATTTTTTCTTGCAGGAGTTCCCTGTAAGCCATCATCTCCATGTAGTGAAAGTGTTTTATTTAGTTTATATGTACATATCCCTACACTGGGGCAGATGATTCCCAGATAAACTAGCCTTGCCTCTTGCACAAACCAGTTGTTTTCTGCCCTGCCTTTTCTCCTCAAAGGGGAAGAGCACAACAGGAGAAATAGAGCTGATTTGATCATGATTCCTACAGGAACACAGACAGAGCCTGCCTCTCTTGTCTTTACTTTTAAGTCAGCTCTCTTCCTGAAAGGGAAAATGTACAGCATGGGTGGTGGGAAAGAGTCATCACTGGATTAGAACTCATCCCCATTATAGCAAGACCCACTGACTTGATTTGAACAGGGCTCTTTCTGATTAGATAAAGGTAGAATTACACTTCACGCCAAATTAAATCAAGTCCAGTTTTACTTTCTTAAAAGTGAAAGCGCTTACTGAGAGATGACAAAATTGGTTATTTTCTTACCTCCTTTCCTACCAGACTGCATCATCATTCTACGCCGGACAGTGTCGAAAGGGTAAGATACCAGACCGGCTACTGCAGTTACAGTCTGGGCTATCATCCAGCTGATTATGATGTGTACATTCTTCGGATCAGGCAGCATCCCTGTCATCAAGAGGCGGCGGCCCAAATATGAAAACAGGAAGAAAGAGGGGAATGTCATTAGTACCGCTTATACTTTCTGCCCGATGCACCGGCAGAATCAGGATCAGTGATGCTCTGTCCACATGCTCTATCTACCATGTGGTACCACAGCAAAATTGCAGGGCTATCCGGTGGGAAAAAAGTAGACATCTACATTTCAGATATTACTGACTTCTACAATCTGTAGCCTTATTACATCAGTGTGTTTACACAATTTGTCACAGAAAAAAAACAAGGTGACCCAACTCAAGAGTAAGTCTCACTGAGAGATGCAAGCTGATGGACCTGTTAAAAATAGTGTCCATTAGTATTCCACCTTTTTCTAAGGAAGGGAAATATGGATTTAATCCATGTTATAACGGTGCTATGAAATTAAACCAAACTCAGAGACAGCAAAAAGTTTGAAAATATATTTCAGTTCTTTTTTACTTTCTTTTTTACTTTTCTTTCTTTTTTTTAATCAAAAATAGCCTCGCTGAACCCTGTGGGATGGTTTGAGACACACATATAAGGGCTGTGCCCTCAGTGAGCTTCATGACCGAGCAGGGATTCAAATCCAGTCTTCCACAGTCCAAATCTAGCATTCTAGCCACTATATTGCAATCATTACCTTGGGAAACTGTAGTGCTGCCAGATCTTTCTAACTGAGTAGCCTCTGAAGAAAGGTGTCCTAGATCTAAAGAATCCTTAGTTTCCTAACTGCATTGCCAACCTGTTTCTGCAGAGGGCACCATTGGGCTAACCTTGCCTAGGCTTGGAACCCATGTAGAGTCAGGCCTGATTAGTACTTGGACAAATTCCTCCAGGAAATACCAGAATAGTAGGCTAGGATGGAAGTCAAAAAATAGATGGTGAGAGCAAACCATTTCTGTAGTGCTGTCAAGAATACTACATTGCTACAAATCAAGTTCAACTAAAAGGAGACTTTTATCATATTGCCATTCTAAAACGTATCTTAAACTCTGAAATTAGTGGCCTTTATTTGCACATACTGCTAAACTACACTGTGGTTTCTTTATAGCTTAGTGGAATGTGTGAATTTGCGAGTCATTAGCCTAAACCAGCATGGCTTGTTTCATAAACCTTAGTTAAAACCTTTGCTTAGCATTCTATACAACTGTAGACAGGATTAAGATGCAGTTGACTGAAGGTTAGGAAACTTGTACCAGGACAGGCTGGAGTATTTAGCATATTTTGATTATGTACCATCAAGTCATTATTCATCTTAGATTTTCTCCATGATATTTGGCACATTAGGGAACAGGAAAATTTAGAACACTGAATTGCCTAATTTCTAGGATTATTACTATATTATTTTTTTAAAGAGACTGTTATTTAAATCTCAAGAACATCCCAGAAGTGGATTGACCACAGAAAGTTAGCTTACTACTTCATGTAGGTCAAATCATACTTATTATAAATCTTTGACAATTACTTATCAGAAGGAAAATGATATTTAAAATACATTTTTTTCCCAAGCAGAAGGGAAAAAAAGAGAATCAAGTTCTATACCCTTCTCAGTATAAATAGTTATCAGTTGATTCACAAGAGAGATCCATTTTTAGGCAGCATTTACAAATCCCATCAATTGAAATGCAATTTGTCAAGCAAAGCCATGTTTAGATTAGCCTTCCTTTCACCTGGCCCCCAACAGCTGTGTTGGCTTGGAATATATCAAGGGGGCACCAGCTTGGGGAAGACTGATCAGATCATTCTATCAGCATCACTAGACATCTGTTTCTTACCCTTAGCTGTATCATAGACGCCAAAGTAAGCAGCTCGGTAGATGATGATACCCTGGACTGACACATTGAATCCCAAGTAGAGACCCCTGAGGCCATCAGATTTATAGATTTTAGCAATGCAATTGCCTAGCCCGGTGAATTGCCTTTCATTCAGCCCTTTGCCCACATCAGCAGCTAGCCTGGTCCTGGCAAAATCTAGAGGATACACGAAGCAGAGAGACGTTGCTCCTGCTGCACCTCCAGAGGCCAGATTGCCTGCAAAGTAACGCCAGAATTGCTTGCGTTTGTCCACTCCCCCAAGGAAAATCTGCTTGTACTTGTCCTTGAATGCAAAGTTGAGGGCCTGGGTGGGGAAGTACCGGATGACATTGGCCAGATTGCCTCTCCAGAAGGAAATGATGCCTTGTTCCTTGGGAATCCTTATCACACAGTCTATGATTCCCTTGTACTGTTTTTCAGCTGTGATTTGTTGGCTAGCATGCTGGACCTGTTGAAAGAAGGAGACAAAAGAGGGAGGGAGGGAAGGAAGGAAGGAAGGAAAAGGATAATTGTTGCTTGTGTACAACTGCTCAAAGTTCCCCTGCAAAATATGGAGTTTTATTCCATACCAAAACCAGTCATCAATTTAAGATTAACAACAATAGCATCAGTGCACGATAGCTCCATTAAATGCACAAAGTTTATTTAAACATAAGATCTGTGAAATATGCACCTAGGAAATATGTTTTCTCCTTTATCCAGTCCTTATTTTTCTCATGGGAAGCCTATGTACTAGGTCTCTACATGTATACATTTTAAAAGATGATTAGGTAGTAAAGTTATTCAAAAGGAGCTATTTTGCAAAATATGTAGCGCAAGGAAATCGCCCTTCTTTGACACATTAAAGCAGCTGTGTCCTCTAGAAACCTTGCATGGATTCTTCCAGGGTTGTCCTTAGCTGCTTGCATGTGTGTGCAAGCACAATTGCTTCACTTTACCGGCAGTCCCAGAGAAAGTTTTCTCTATGTATGAATATGCAGTTTGGTCAGTCAGGGATTGCCTTCAAAGCAGCAACGCTAACCTTCCAAAAACATACCCGTTTAATATTTCAAGGAGGTAGACTTTGGTCATGCCAGTACACTTTGTGAAGTGCCTCTTGCAATGCTTTGCGCAGCTTTACTAGGTAGTATATGTTATATAAAAAGAGATTATATTATTTCAAGCAGGAAGAGCAAATCCATATACAAGCAAGCTTTTTTTTCACTTGTATATCTCTTTTGAGATTTCAGTCCCTTCAGCCAATCTCCACAAAGTTACCAAACTATTGGGCCTTGTAGCTAATAACATTTATGCAACAGAATAATTTAAATGGAACTAGGTTAGCAGAGCACCGTTCCATTTACACTGCCCATTGAGTATTACTTTTGATTGGGCTGAATGGCATGCCACACACACAATACGAGAGAACAATCAAGGCCTGAAGGAGTTTCTTCCACCCCTGGGTAGCTTGCAAATTCATGCTATAAACCAAGCCAAAAACAGAGCTGCACTGATCTTCTGTAATCAGAACTGCACAACTGCAGTTTCCATATTTAGTCACTTCATATGACACTAAAATTCCTACTCCACTCCTATCTACAACCCCACATTTGACTCCATGCAAGAAGACCCCTTTCTTAGAAATACACAGCACTGCTTTGGGGGACAGCAGACTTGTCCTAACTATTATATCAACATTTCTTAGAAGAAACTTGTGAGTTTATAAAGAAAAGAGCCCCCAAGTAATTTTCTGCATGTTTCAATCGGGGAGGAAGGTCCTTGCTCTCTACTTTTTAGGAAACGCCAGACAAAACCAAATAGATTTTCAAACGACAGGTGCCAGATAAATATCTGGGCAGCTTTTCTCCCAAACTCTATGGATAGAAAGGACCAGCATTATTCAGCCACTCTGCTCACCTGTAGCAGCAACTTGACTCTTTCAATAGGCGCTACCGCCGTCTTGGAAATGGCAGCAGCTATACCCCCCGCCAAAAAGTCCTTAAGAAAACTAAGAGCCTGGTCAGCCATACTGAGGTGAGACGACACACCAAATCCCCCTCCCCCTTAAAAAGGGGAATAAAAAGTCCCTACAGAGTCGTCCAGAGGCACCTTTCCACCCAGCGATATCCCCCCCGCCAGATCACACCGCTCTTGATCGACAGACCCTTACCTTTTCCAACTATTTATAGCCTCTCCGGGTCTCGCGATAAGAGGAGGACCCGCGGGGGGCTGATCCGCCTGCACATTGGCTAGGACCCCCATCCTTGGAGGGCACTGGGGGGAGGGCGCCATACTGCTCTGTTCCGAAGGGGCAACCTCTGAGCGAGGGTCGCCGGCAAGGACACATTCATGTTATCTGGTCCCCTTCAAGCGTTGGGACACGGCATGTGCTCGCTGTATTAATAGCACAAGGGAGGGGGAGCGAGGCTTCGGGCCGAGGCGTTAACCCTTTGGAGAGCCCTCGCCGGCGACCCCAGATGGCCAGGCTGAGTTCCGAGGCAGCGCGCGGCGAAGTGGGATGCGCGCTTCGCTTGCAGGAAGGGGCGATCCTCGCAGAGCACGCTTGTTCTCTTACGCGGTACCCCCTTTCACACGTTAGACGAGCGCTTCCCAGTCCTTTCTCAGAAACATCCTGCCGCGTATCCTAAGCTGAGTTGTAGAATCAGTCTCTATGTGGACTTTACGGGTGAGCCCAGTGCAGAGATACCACCAATCATTTTTACACATGGCTAGCGAAAGATAATTAAATAATTTAATTAATTTAATTAAATAAATATTTTAATTATTTAAAATATTTATAAACTGCCTTTAGAGTAATCTCCCCAAAGTGGCTTTGGACAACTGCTTTATATAGTAATATATCATATATTTTTTTTAATCCATTCAATCGTGCCTGATTCTTGGAGATTGCCTGGACAAGTCCCTGCAGTTTTCTTAGCAAGGTTTTTCAGAAGTGGTTTGCCATTGCCTCCTTTCTAGGGCTGAGAGAAAGTGATTGGCCCAAGGTCATCCCGTTGGTTTTGTGCCTCAGGTGAGACTAGAACTCACAGTCTCCCAGTTTCTAGCCGGGTGCCTTAACCGCTACACCAAACTGGCTCTCAGTTAGAATATATGATACTGACCATTAAAAGAAATGTAAGTTTGATTTTAAGGGCCCACTCCATGCTGATTTTGTAATACTGCAAAGCTTTAATAGGCTCTTTATTAATTGGATGTTGTTCCTTTAGTTTTTTCTATTTTAGTAAATTTGTAACAATCCAGAGAATTTGGATTATTGGCTAGATATAACAATAGCAACGGTAAATATAGATAAGTGGAGATACAGTTGTCTGTGTTGAAATGCCCTCAGTAAATGAACAGGAACTACAGATGAATTGGCATCATTTAATATGTATGTAGCGTTATATTTCTATACTAGGTTGTAAGCCTGAGAATAGGCTGAGCCAAACAACCTGCATTTGGTATGATGTAAAAACTCAACAATTATCTAGCAGGTCCTGTTGAGTGTAGTAGGAATTCCTTGCTAGTTAATCCTAAGAATTACCATGTCATAGTTTACCACTTTAAAAGTCTTGTATGTCAAGAAACCACAGATACCATACCTTGTTTGGGCAACAGAACAAAATCACTGATTTGCAAAGAACTTGATATAGGATAGCCAGATGCAAAGAAAGACCTGTAGTTCAGACTAACAAGTTTAGACTAACTTTTCCTTTTTGAAATATCTTTTGTATATAGCTACTTTATCTTAGAGAATCTTTTAGTGTCAGGTAAATATGGTGAGGATTGTTCTTTATATATCCTAATACATTAGATCAAACTAGCTTCTTATTGTCTACTCTAGCTGGTAGGAGCTTATCAATGTCTTTCCTAGCTCTGTTGTTAAGGCCCTTTATGTGTCAATATTGGACTGACCTGACCCCATTTCCTGGGGAAAGCATGGGCCATTAAACTATGAAAGGAGCCTTCTCATGTGCAAATGAGTTTTGCCTCAATATTTTAACTGGCAAGCCTGGGTGTTCTCAAAGATAAAAACCTGTATTTAAGATACTGATAGAATTAAATTCTGGAAAGCAATGAAATTTTGTGCAAAATAGAATGCTACTGCTTTAAAACTCAGCTGAGCCTGTATCTCTCAATTGCCAGCTATTTTTTTCCTCCAGTGTCAGGAGGAGGAGTTTATTCTCTTTCCTGGTAGGGTCTTTTAAGGACAGCTTTGGCACATGATTGGAGCACAAATGTCATTTAGGTGAAGGGAGCTGGAGCAGAGCTCTAGCAGCACATGACTAGGAAATAAAGTTCATAGCCCAAAATGTGAAATACCAGCACAGAAGGTACTTGTGCGTGGTGTAACATTCTTACTGGGTGACATCATGAATCTTATCGTATAGTAAGTAGGCTTGTATCCCAGTCAGTATTATCTGCTAGGTGGCTTTTTCACACAAATGATGAATAATTAAGAGTAAGCCTTATAGAATTCAAGAGTGACTGATTTTCCAGTAAAGATGCATGTTCTATACGGCCACTTAACCCCCCAAAATGTGACTCTGGGTGGTGTACAACAGTAAAAATAGAATTGCAACAGAACAGAAAACACAACAACCAAACGTACAGTTGGGGTGCACCAACAGAGATTCCATCTTGCAGGATGAGCTTCTCTAGTCCCAGTGTCACTTCCTGAAGGCCAACAGAGTCAGGGCAAGTCAAATCTCAGGGGAAGATCATTCCACAGGGCAGATACCATGCCAGAGGTGGCATGTTTCCTAGGTCTCATCAAACAACATTGTTTTAAAGAAGGGACCTGGAGCGTGTCCACTCTATTGGAGTGTGTGGGATGGCAGAAACCATCAGAGATGGGGTTCCTGCAAATAACTTGGTACTACACTATAGAGGGCTTTATAGGTGATAACTTGAATTGCACCTGGAAGACTACAGGAGGCCAGTGCAGCTCATGAAGTAGAGGTGGTATATAAGGGTGTGCTTTATGATACTTTGCTGCATTCTGTTCTTTTTTTTGCTACAAGTGTGTGCGCACATGTGTTTTGCTCTGTGTTAATCCTAGCTGACTAAAATGGTCTTTATGCTTGTAACAGCAGCTAGATGCACTGAAATCCATAGGAGCAGCTTCTCACAGCATGGAGGTTAACAGTATTTGCCTGCTGATATTCTGCATATTAAGGTACTATTAGAGGTAGTTATTATTGACTAGATGAAAAATCAGGAAACCCTAATCAGTAAATATACAAAGGAAGAAATACCTTTCTCCAGCTGATGCAGTTTCTTGTGTTAACCCAAAGCACTGTGCTTTAAGAACATGGAAAGTTCTTTTAAGTTGTGGGCTGAGTTATGCACTGAAAGTGCAGCCAAATAGGAAACAGGCAGAGGCAGGCAGGTGATAAGGTAAGGAGGCAGTTTGAATTATATCTTAAGCCTTGAGATGACATACTTAGAGTGAAATTTGACTACAAACAACCAAGTTCATGTTCCTTCAGGGTTGCTTGCTTTTAATTTTTGAGAGTATACAAATGTATTTGCAAATAAGTTACTGAATTTGCTGCTGGTGGGATGAACTTCCTTTTGTATTTCAGCTTGGCTTGAAAAATGTTCAGCTTTATCCAGAGGCAGCAAGATAACCCCTCTTTGGATAGCCACTAGTTTTAGATTCAAACTAGTTAGATTTAGATCCCAGAACTAACCCAGTTTGTTTTGTTCCTTGAAACCTCTTTCCTGTTGCTAAAATGGAATATTGATCTTGATGAACCGACACTCTGGTTTAGACAATCATCTGAAAGACACTAGTTTATCAAGAAATCCTGCGGGAAGGCCCCTTGGCCCGACACTCACAGATCTTTCTCTTGCATTCTTGCCCATAACACTCAACAGGATCACCTAGTCTCAGGTCTGCTTCCACACAACACTGAGCTATAGACTCTGATTTACAAATCAATGGCTGGATCTACACACAACACTTGAAACCATATAAAGAAATTGCATTATGGCTTTACAAAAAAACATTCATAGATGGAGCATTCCAGGAATTTAAAAGATTGTCACTGAAGGAAAGAGGTAGAGAAGGTCACTTCACTAGACCAGTTACACATTTCAACCTATTTCCCAACTTGTCACCACCATAGAGCTACAAAGGGAGAGAGGAAGATCACTTTGCATCCATAGAGAAGGTGATTAAATAAGTGTTCAATATTTACCCTAGATTCAAGCTGTGTGATGTTCTGAATTTTTATCCCCATGTTTTAAAGCCTTTTTCTTTATTTTGCATGCAGTTATTTTAAATCAAAAACAGTCATTCCGTACAGACCACTGCCAACCTTGCTTTCATTTGAGTTTTGGGTCATGAGTAGATACCAGACACTCATACCTTTAACCCAACTGTTCAAGGTCTAAATGTACTCGGAAGCCTGTTCTGTATTGCCTTTGGATACAGAGTTTCAGTAGTGAAGAATGAGGAAGTATAAAATAAGACTGGGAAGCTTGTAACCCAGATGACTTCCTCTGGGCTGATCTGTTGCCTCCAAGCAAACTGTGGCCTGTTTCAGCATTATCTTTCTGAAGAGGACTGACCTCTCACTTGAGAAAATACTAAACCATAACTCAGCGACACCTAACACCTGGCTACCATGGGAAACATACCATGGTTATAACTAGATTCTGTCTCTGTTATAAAGCAAGTGACCTGGAATAGCCCTGTAACATATGCCGTAATATTATACCTATAACAAGTCTCCAGCGAGACTCATTTCAATCTAAGCCAAATATTTTCACCCCTACTGTCTATCCCTGCTGAGGAAATTTATAGTTTAAAAAATTGTTAACAAAATTCTCTTCTAAAAAGGCACAGGCTCTGTTCCTTGATGAAATTCTTTTTGAATCTTCCTCTAAAAGATCAGTGTTTTCAGATGTTGTTGGCCACAAAGAGTTTCAATGAGATCTGTCACGTTCAGATCCCAAATAATCCCCCCAAGAATATTTCAGGACTGTCAGCGGGCTCTCTCTGGATATCCTGCTATTGGAATGAGGTATTGCACAAGTATTTAAAGGAACAAAAATGCTGGTTCCAACTAATTTTTTGGAAGCTAAGGCCTATTGAGGTCAAAATAAGGTTTACTATTAAGTATGTCAAATGTAACAAAATTAT